AAAATGATAGGTGAGTTGATGAGCTCAAGGGTAAAACAGAAAAATATATACAATGCTATAAGTAAGAATCGAAAAAGGAGTTTTCAGAATGGTTCTAAAGTACTTTGAAAGAACGACCTGTATGCACATTGTAGATGTTGTAATATAGAATTATGCTCTCAAAAGACATGTTGTGTGCGCGCCCAATACAATAACAGACAGTTTTCATGACTCATAGGTTTTTTTTCTACCACTGATCTTGGAACGGTATTTTCTTTATACCGAATTCAACGAGACTATTTACCGATTCTGTTTTTTTGGGGGTTCCGCAACACCGAAGATGTGCAGATCATTAACTAATTAAAAGCAATTGATATCCCATACTTGTTATAATAATAGAAATAAGAAAATAAAACAATGTTTGGAAATATGTTTTCATAAATAGGTAGGTTTTTGATTCTGACATAATATCTAGACGAAGAATAATAGTTGGATGCGGATACTTTTACAAATATCGGTGTTTTAGGACCCAGAAGTGCAGAATGTGCTGTTTGTTTACATTTGGTGTGAATTTCTAGATCATAAATTGGCAGAAATTGTTTTTGATGTAACAAAAGAAGATGAACCAGTTGGAATACGTTTTATATCCTTTTTTGTACAAAAATCGGTACATTTCTACAGGTACGTATTTTGTACAACACCCTGTACGTGATGTACAGACAAAACTAGATTGCCATGGATGAACAGTCATCAAAAACAGTAAAAACATCCCGCCAAATATAATAGCTACGAAATCGACCTATTATTTCTATCATTTTGATTGGTCCATTTACATAACTGACTGTCTTTTGTGAAACTGGAAATTCTGTGAAAGTTATCCTAATTCTAAAGTAGAAAGACATGATATTAAACCTATAATGTACTCTTATTCATAAGGCAACCATTTTTTCACGACTTAATTCAACACTTCAATAGAAATCACTGATATTCAGAAACCTTTGACAGTTTAATGTAAAGTTGCATGTCGATAAGCTATTTTCCCATTGGTTCAAGGGACCGTCAAATATTAATGTTGGTGAAATTGGGTCTTAACCTTTCTTTTTCTCAAAGCTTACTTAGCATACAACTATTTTGCTAGCTGCCTTTGAAAACTGCTAGATTTGAGTGTGATAGGATCAAAACGATTTGCGATCCACCTTTTATTGTATAACATACAGATTCAAAAAGAGATCGCTTTTCCTTGCTTTCGCTCTCGTATGAAATTATGGAAATGTCAATTACGACACTTCGGCGGCTGCATCCGATTGAAATTATTGTTATAAGAACCAGCGAACTTGGGCAGCATGATGTCCTGATGACTGTAACGAATGTCAGATAGTTCGTAATCTTGAGATACGATCAAAATCAGTTCGCGGAAATATACTAAGTGACATATAAATGCGAACACCCAGTTTAAATGGTTTTATTTTAATAAAAGTTGGTGAATGTACGAGTATATATCTTACTGTAAATAACAAGTGAAAAAATTTTCAACCTTACCAGTTGGACATTCCGGTTTTTATACTGCTTTTTTTTTTAATTCACTAACGCTCTAAAAATGAATATTTCAGCCGCAGTAAAGAATCGACGTTGGCGGATTTTGGTTCTTGACATACTTTACGATCGGTTACGATGCCTAGAGTACGGAGACCTGTACGACTTCGTCAACTTAGTGAGTTTGATAGGGGCCGTATAGTGGGACTTCGGGAAGCTGGACTTTCTTTTCGGGCAATTGCAGTTAGAGTGCAAAGAAGTGTAGACACTGTGGTTAGGTGTTGTCAGGCATGGCTTCGAGAAGGCCGTACGCAAAGAGCAAGGGGCACTGGACGCCGCCGTAGAACAACAGACCGTGAAGATCGCCGCCTAAGATTATTGGCCTTAAGGGACCGTTTCTCCACTACCAGGTCCATCGCAAATGAATGGTTTGCAGAACACGGAAGACCTATTGGCATGCGAACTGTTTACCGACGAATGAGAAGTTTTGGCTTGTTTTCATACCGGCCACACTGGGTCCTCTCTTTAACTCGAGAACACCGACGTAATCGCCTTGAGTGGTGCAGCCACAGGTCACTCTGGGATCAGGAATGAACCAATATTGTCTTTAGTGACGAGTCTCGATGTTGTTTAGGCATGCACGATGGTCGTGCCACGGTTAGAAGGCGACGAGATGAAAGGAGGAATCCACAGTTTTTTGTTGAAAGACATGTTCATCACACTGTTGGAGTTATGGTTTGGGGTGCTATAGCTTATGGTTCCAGGTCACCTATATCCACGAAGTTCTAGAACCCCATCTTTTACCCTATTTGACACCCTGGCAGATCCAACTTTCCAACAAGGTAATGCCCGACCACATGTTGCAAGAGTCACAATAGACTTCTTTCAACATAATAATGTGACATTGTTACCATGGCCACCAAGATCTCCCGACTTATCCCCAATTGAGCACGTGTGGGATATGATGGGTAGGAGATTGCTCAATTTGCAGCGTCCTCCTCAGACTCTAGAAGCACTTCGAGAGGAGTTGGTGGTTGCCTGGAATGAGATACCACAGGAGGACATTGACCACCTAATCAGAAGCATGCCTAGGCGCGTTGGAGAATGCGTAGCACATCAGGGTGCATCCACACATTATTAAAGGTCAAAGGGCTTTAAAGCAGTGCTATCATTTTGAAATTTTTATCATTTACTTATTATGCTTCATTGAGTACCTAAACAAAATTTTATTAAAATAAAACCATTTAAACTGGGTGTTCGGATTTATATGTCACTTAGTATATTTATCTAAGTTATGTACCAGTCTATAGAGAAGAAGATCCTGAACAAGGAATTTTGCCTCCACGTTCCTTTGTTATCAGTTTCAGTATTGTATTTCATTTGTACTTTACGTTGGTTTGTATAATGCACTTTGCAGTCAGTCTCGATTCATAACTCATTCAATTAACATCGTTGTATTTGGTTTTACTCAAAAATAAATCTTTTTTGAAAACGTATTCGTTGAAGAAAGATATTTGAGTTCTGTGAATTTTTTATAATGATGAACAGACATCCGGTACACGTTCGACTAAGCTATCATGCGTAAAAGTGCTTCATTTGGATATTTGCAGTCCGCCTCTCTGCAGCAAATTGCTCCATTATGAAGTATTCGCCGGCAAAAGTCGCTGATTTGCGCTCTTTCCGATCGTTTTTCTTTGAAAAATCAGTCCACCTTGCTCTGTAATTTGCAACGTTTCTATTAGCTCGGCTAACTCAATCCCCGCGAGTCCTTAATGCAGTTGAGATAATCAAGTTTGAAATGCTGGGTAATCGGTTTTATCGAGAAACTTTAAACTGCACTTTGATAGGAAAGAGCCGCCGGTAAGTTATGCGCTCGATATAGACGCGGCTGGAACACCTTTGCAGGGTCATTTATTCTCGTCTTATAATCCGAGAGATTCCAGGGTTTTGCTTATCATGAAAACTAATGTCAAGTAAGTTTGCTTGTCCTTTAGTTGAACTTATGAAGGAAGATGCTATATTAACCTCCTAACTAACAGTTCCCAACTAGCAAGGTAGTGCTGTAAGCTTTTGGTAAAAGAATCGTTCAGCTATAAAAGCTCTCTATTGTTGTTGCCTGAACACCAAAATGCTGGCTTAATGTTGTGTGGAATGCAAATTTGCTCTCTGCAACATATTTGCTCTAAAATGAGGTGTTTAAAATATTCTTATAGCATAGTTACACAACACCTTATAGGACAAATTTTTAACTGTTGCATAAACCTTTATACAACTATTTTGTACGGCATACTTGCAGGTTAGTCAAAATGGTTGTGTTGTGGCATCCATGGTAACGTTTATAAAACAAACCCGAGCCTTGTTGTTTTGCTGTGCAAATTTACTACTTTAGCCAACAAATTGCTCCCAACGGAAGCACTTATACAACTGTTGTTTAGTAACTGTTAAAGGCTGTACATATGCTAAATACTCGTATGTTGGTATACAACTTCACCATAACCTAACTTTCTGCTGTCATATTTTTGTTAAAATGCCATAGCCAATGTTTTAAGACAAACAACGCATGCATATTGGTTAAAAAGGTTTTATCAACTGTTCAAACAGAAGATATAACTAAAGACAACATGGACGATGCCATGATTATACACAATCACCCGCCATATTGGGAAAACATTTATTCCTCTATTTGATATTAAATAATTATGTTTCAGTTCGAAATTACAGAAATAAAGTGATAAACATTAGTGTAATTTTGTCTAAATATAGGATTTGTGGAAGATTTAACGCAGATAAGTATAGTTTTCCATCTTAAAAATCTAGACATACTTTTGATCATTATCAAAATATGAATCAAATACGAAATTGCGTAACTACTTTGCACGATAATCACAATAAAATTTGCTGCGCAAGTAATTCAATAGCCCCATATCACAGTGTAGAAGTTTATCATATACCTGTGTATTAAACAAGATGACTGTATTGTGTTAGTTATATATTCTTCACTTCGTCTATACAATACATAAGAAATAGTTTGGCTGCAATAAAGTACAATCACGTAACAGAATAGTTGTATAGTTGACAAAAACTGAATCTTGTACTGACGCAAATGTCCTATAGCGGCTGCAAGAGGCTTACACCTTTGTTGCATAACTGTTACCTGCAGCCCTTATTTAACCTCTTAAATGACTGAAGTGTCCTAGTAGGAGTGCCCATTCCGCTTGTATAGCCTCCTGAGACCCAGACATGTTTTTCATAAGTTAGAGTTGTGACGTTTTTAAATATAACAGAAAATACATTAACAAACATTCTTTACTGAGGACATTTTTTATTTTTTTTCTTATTTTGAAAGATACATGACGTCCATTAAAATGGACATTGGGTCTTAACCTATACAAAAATGCCTAATGTATAAGTTATTTAGATGGATAAAAATACATTTAAAATTAAAACTTAAACTTATAAGAACATATAAAATAAACGTAAACTTAAATTTATCTGTTATGGAACTCTATAAAGCAGTTTCTGTAGCCAGTTATGCATAAGAATGTGTTACATCTATTACAAAAAAACTTCGTTTTTTTAGTACAACTGTCATTTTTACATCGAACCGAATTTCTTAAATCTGAGGCAATTTCTGGGTAATGTTCTTTCCGCTTTCTTTCGGTGCCTGCTGATGGTGAATCAACAATGATATTACCCTCAGGATTTCTTCGAGTTCCTATACCTCGTATATTTTCTTGGAAAATGTTGGATTCATTTTTCAAAAGGTACGTGGTAATTTCGATTTTAAAATCTAGATACTGCTGTGTTTTTCGTGTAGAGGTTTGAAATATCTTTTTATCTCTTCGATAAAAAATCCATGAGTTTGCCAATGCTAAATCAAAGAAATGGAAAATGACTCTCACAGTCCATTTTTTTGATCTGGCTTGAATTCTGTAATAGCTGATCATTCGGTCTATCAGGTCAATTCCTCCCATACAATCGTTGTATTTAGCAACAATGTCAGGTCTTGCAACTTGTATGTATTTAGAGTCTTTCTTAGACCACCGTTTACACTCATCACTAGGCTGAATTCCTAGACGAGTAGATGCCAAAAGTACAGATTTCAGGTCATACCACTGTACAACCACTATTTCGCCATCTTGCCTTACAATTTGTTCCGAGCTACCTCTACCTATCTTGGCCATCATTTTGTCTGAAGTTAAATGTGCTGCCGCTGGTACACGAGATTTCATAATCGTTCCAGTACAATATTTCTTTTGTTGGCGAAGATATTCAAGAAGTGGTATTGTCGTAAAATATCTATCGCAATACACATGAGTTCCAGGAAATAATGTTCTTCCAAGCCGAACAACAGCAGAAGGTCCAACACCAAGTCGTTTTACAGAATCATCTGGAAACGTATTTTTTCCTTGATATAGTTCAAAGTCTACGACAAGACCATCAGGAGCAGCAACAACAAAATTTTTCAATCCCGCTGGATTGGGTTTTCCCCTAACAAACTGCTTCATTTGACAAGTTCCAGTGAATGGTATCATCTGCTCATCCACAGCAACTGCTTTCTCTCTGGGTAGCTGCAAGCACCCCTGCAATACTGCTTCTAAAATAGGACGCACTTTCCAAAATTTGTCATACCTGCGTTTCTCCTCAGAGATGCTGCCATCAATTACGACTTTGAGGTTACTTCTTATAGAAAAAAACCTATCTCGAGTCATAACATCCGCAATAGCTGCAACCCTCGTGGGTTTGGCCCAGTACATTCTGATTCTAGGATATTTTAGGCAGGACATTAAACAAATTATCCCAAAGAAATGTTTAATCTCATTAAGTGTCAATCTAAGGGATACTCCTTTAAGTTCAACATACCTTGCATTTGTGCAATCACATACTTTTTGGAACATGTCATCTTCTAAGTAAATGGCAAAATACGATTTTGCAGTCCAACCATCGCGAAGCTGTGCGCTGCATTCACTAGACGGACCTTCAAAATTTGGAGGTGTAAAAGTATCATTCCTTCTCCAAAACTGTCGCTGCGAAGAATTGGGAGTTTGTTTGGCCGTTCTTAACTTTTCTCTAAGGACACTAAGAGGAATTCTGTCCTCTCCTTCCTCGTCACTGCTGCTCACCAGGTCTTCATCATTTATTTCGTCCTCTCTCTGTACTAAATTATCCATATTTTCAATTTCACTTTCATCATCAGACATTTCAACGTCAGAATCATCGTTTGCAATGAGTTGTAGTATTTGCTCCAATTTTTCGTCATCTTCCCCTGGCCGAAGCACTCGTTTATTGCCAAAAATTGCTAAAATAAATTTTCCGAATAAATCAAAAATATTCATGAGATAGACCCAATGTCCATTTAAATGGACGCAAGTAATTTAGGCTAGTACAAAAGTTATTTAAAATTTTTATTATTATAAAGCTGTTTAAATGTATCTATTAAACATTAACGAATATATATTTCCTCCTAAATCAGCACATAATGTTAAAAAATAGGTTACACACCATCTAAACGAGAATCACGTGCAGCCGCCATCACAACAGAAAACAAACTTACTGATTCACGGCGCAGGTGCGAGACTAAAGTCGGCCGAATCGGACTAGGCGGCAGCACGGAAGTGTCCAACGTAGTGGATGCGAGGTCTACGCTGCGTAAATATTAAATTAACGAAACTGGAAGTATAAAACTGCATGTCCATTTAAATGGACGCTGGGTCCCAGGAGGATAGCTGTTCTAAGAGCGTTTTGCCAATGTTCTTACAGTATACAATGCTGTTCAAGCAATACTGTATAATCATTCTTGCAACTCTAATAGGAGTAATAATAGTTAGTTGGGAGGTCAGCTATGATCTACGTAAGACTATAGTCAAATACCAGAGTAGCAGAAGTCATCGTGCGCCACTGCTTTGACGTGGTAGTGTCGTACGATGAGTTTCGTGTCTGTCATCGATTTTGGTGTTTTACTATAGTTGCGTCTAGTGAGAGTACGAGTATATGCCGTAGAAGAACCAACTAAAACGGTGGCAATAACATTAAATAGCAGTACCTATAACGGACGAGCTTGTATACAGAGTGTCCCAGATTTGCTTCTCTTTACAGGGATCTCGGCCCCTGTTATACCTACGGCAAAGGTTGAGTGGGAAACGATAGGTTAATTGGCTTTGGAAATATCGGCGAAAAACCGAAAACGTCGAATTTTGTTTTTTGACAGTAAATCCGAAACGGTTAATTTGACAGCTGTCAAATTCCGACATTTTTCTGACATTTTTTAAGGCAAATAAGGTGGTGAAGATTTGATGTAAAAGGGGACGCTAACTTACTTTGTACGTCAATTTTGTAAAATTAATCGTTTACATATTTTTTCAGCTATACAGGGTGACTTCGAAATTCAGTCGTTTATTTTAACAGTGAGTAGATCTGATCAAAAGAAATGCTTTTTTCCTTTAACATTTTTCTGGTAAAATTAAAGTAACAAAGTTATAGCCCTTTAAAAGTTTGAGTACCGCCCTGTCTCAATAATAATATTATGTGCTCGTGTTTGGCAACAACGGATATAATCCGCCTTATCCGTTCATCGCATCGGAAACAAAAAAGCGAAAGAATTTGAAACGATGTTTTTACTACAATGTACAATTTTATTCAGTTGTTTTCCGTCAATGTGTCAGTCGGTAACGCGTGAGTGAATAGTGGTGTTTGTTGCGTGGCTTAAACGAAGGGGGGGGGAGTCTTTATGCGGATCGGTTTCCCAATCGAGTGCAACCAACCCCTCGTGCCTTTGTTAATGTAGTACAAAGGGCTCGTGAATCAGGTGACTTAAGACCTCACAGGGGAGCGCATGCCGGTGCTCCAAGACCGCACGATCAAATACAGGTCCGCACTGAAATACTTGTCGGGAGGATACTTTATAAAACAAGGTAACATTTTTTTTTATTTTTATTTTTATTTTTACACACATACTTTGGTTTATCTTCCTTCTACAATCATTATCTGAAAATTAATGACTCAACTTCAAAGTCACCTTGTATTTTCTGGAATTTTACCTTGTCCATTAAGATTACATCTCCATGCATTCTGAGTATTCATAAAGTGGTTTTCTAATTTTACCTTCAAAATCTTTAAATTCGACCACCGTTAAATGTCATTATTCAATTTATAAAATTTAGATACTCCCTTTTGATTTGCTAGTTATGCTACTATTACAACTTTCTAGATGAAAATCTACAGGGTGTTCCTTAATGATATGGGAATATTTAAGGGTGTGAATCTTCAGATATTCCACTGATATTTAGAACGTAGTGAAAGTTAATAAAATTGCATATTTTTTAATGCAAAAATAAATTTTAGCTTTAACAGTGGCGTGCGTACGGGTATTGACTTTGACATATTTTAAGAAAAAAATGGTACGCGAATGGTTTTTTCCAAATGAAAATTATTTTTGTTTTCATTTGACGCGCCATTTTCGAGTAAACAATAAAAACCGTTCTATTGTCTGAGAAATTTAATGTAATAATTGAAGAATGCCATTTATCAATAAATACCTCGTTGCTCTGGAATATGTCACTGGCTTTTGACATCTGACTAGCCTCTGTGATTCAGATCTGTTCACTGTGATATCTCTTTCATTATTTAGTTTTTACAGTCTTGTTAATAATGGTGAATTATTCAAATGCAGGAATGGCGGAAATGCATTACGTATACGGCTTTGCCGACGGTAGTGGTGAGCAAGTCAGACGGATTTATCACCAGAGATATCCCCTAAATGTGATGGTAATAAATGATTTTTTAATTTGAATATGAACATATCAAATCCTTTACATTCAACGACTGTAGCGGTTTTAAAATAGACTTAATCCTAGCATATTTGTTTTTATTTAAAATAATTATAGCTTCTCATAATTTATACTTTTGTACCATTGTATTGTTCACATCTTGGATGAAACATATTTCCACACTCGAGGCCACTTGATACCTAACCTTTACATCTTAAAAACGCAGTGCTACCGCATATGTATCATGCAAAAAACCTATAAAACGTCAAAAAAAACCTATAAGATGTCATCTTGCAAACTAGGTAGTTTTAGGACGCAGTCATTCCACGTTTGCTCACTAGGATCGTAGTGAACGTCCATCTATGGAGGAATCACTCAACTAAAGTAAACGAATTATTGGTTGCATATGTTTTGTGAGGCCAAATGGTCCTGTCTGTAGTTTTTATCTCTGAGAAGAAAGTTGGTTGAATAGCAAGATCGCATCTTGATGATTATGTGTATTGGTCTGAATGTGTACAAAATCAATCGTATTTGTTGTGTGAGAAAATCATTACTGAATATGCTGAAGTATATCTATTGGCTGTGCCCGACGGGTTATTTTTATGTTGTGCTTTCTGCAGAGAGGTTATGTTCAAAGTTATTATATATTTTATTCAGCAAATTTGTATATGTAATTTACAGAATGGATAAGAAAAAGTGGATGCGCAACTTTTCTAGCTTTGAATCTCAATTGAGTGTATTTGAGACCAGAACGCAATGTAATTATCATCAACACATACAACTTACACCTTAGACCTCCAGTAATGCCATCTCAGAAGCAGATTTTAGATCATATCAGAGCCAAAGATTGATAACAAGCATCATGACGTTCAGGCAACACGTAAAACTAAGTTCTAAGTTAATATCTCATAGAAAAACCTATACAATGTCAAAAAAACAGCTTAATGTCAAAAAAAATCGGCATGATGTCACTTTTCACGTGATACCCTGACGCCATCTTGACTTTTCAGAACAGCCCGCTTCGATTGGCCATGTCAAATGCGCTGCAGTTGCAGACCTTGCTAACAGACTCCATCGACCGCAATGTAGAAACAATAAATAAAGCTTAATATCAACGACCACGTTAGGGACAATAAATAGGATCTCATGTCTGCTCCCATTACCGGGAACTGCGTGCTATCCATTAACCTGACACCGTCGGATCGACACTATCGCCGATTCCGCAGGAGAAAGAATCAAGATTAAGATAGGTGCGTTACGGGATTTGTGCCCTGCGGCTATCGAGGAATTAGTGCCGCGCGCTCAAGGAGAAGCACGCCTTAATTTGTGGAATTGGAGATAAGTGTAATGGCCTGGAATGCCTGCCGTTCGATCGGAAAATTGATACTTGTGATTAGCGTGAAGGTGATGTAGGTGTGGAGGATACTGAATACTACGTGGTATGTGACTTTTCGACTAAATCGTGGTAGTACTTTGTTCCACATGACGTCCTCACTCTATACAAGGTCTAGATTAGGCCTAGCCTCGAGTACTGCTCACATGTTTGGGGTGCTGTCGTCAGAACAGCATCGAGTATGGATAATAATAATAATAATAAACGGCTTTATTGGAGGAGTTTAGCACAGCTATTCTTACACTCAACCTTTTTAAAGACTAAAGCTTAATGCTAATTTGACATACAAATATGGCATTTTATATATACAGTAAACGATGAATGTCTATCAATCTAGCTAAAAAAGAAAATAATGGTAATTGATCACAGGGCTTCATTGATCCTATGCTGAATTCCTAGAAGGTGTTGCCTGAGATGCAGTTTGAAATGGATATTATTATTAGTATTTGATATATCGATATTCCTAATTTAGATGTTAAAGAGAGATACTGCATTATACGTGAAAGATCTATAAAAGAGTATAAGCATCGTAAAATGGTTTTGATGTCTTATATTGACATTATGTACGAGTATACTTGACCTTGGCACCACCTTTTCTACTAAATATACAGGGTTCGTAGAATATAATACACGATTCAATGCTGTCAGGTAAAAATATTTGAACAGAGAATTGATATTAAGCCATTGTAAAAGCCTGAAACTATTAGATATGTGGTCAAATTTACGTAAGTTACAGACAAAACGGCAACAGTTATTCTGCAATCTCTGCAGGCGCATTTGAGTCGAATAGTCCAGACATGGTTAAAAACTATCAAACCATAACTGACAATTGATAGCAACAGACTTTCAGCCAGCTTTTTGCTCGTCTTGAAGTTAATAATGTACTTATTCGCATACAGAACTCCCAGTTTCAAATAACACCTCTGAGATACTGTTTTAATGTATTGTTGATAACGTAACTATGATCAAACCAAGTACCTTACAGCTAGTTGAAAAATAAAGTTGTTGTTCATTCGAGAAGAGGGTCAAACCACTGCTCAAGTTTTCTCGCTTGTGATCAGAACAGAAAAGCACAAGTTTCGTTTTATCAGGATTTAGTTTCAAATTGTGCTCTTTACAATTGTCAGATACTGTTCGTAA